ATAAACCTTTAGAACAGGTATGAAAGTAATGATGAAATGTTATATAAACCTTTAGAACAGGTATGAAAGTAATGATGAAATGTTATATAAACCTTTAGAACAGGTATGAAAGTAATGATGAAATGTTATATAAACCTTTAGAACAGGTATGAAAGTAATGATGAAATGTTATATAAACCTTTAGAACAGGTATGAAAGTAATGATGAAATGTTATATAAACCTTTAGAACAGGTATGAAAGTAATGATGAAATGTTATATAAACCTTTAGAACAGGTATGAAAGTAATGATGAAATGTTATATAAACCTTTAGAACAGGTATGAAAGTAATGATGAAATGTTATATAAACCTTTAGAACAGGTATGAAAGTAATGATGAAATGTTATATAAACCTTTAGAACAGGTATGAAAGTAATGATGAAATGTTATATAAACCTTTAGAACAGGTATGAAAGTAATGATGAAATGTTATATAAACCTTTAGAACAGGTATGAAAGTAATGATGAAATGTTATATAAACCTTTAGAACAGGTATGAAAGTAATGATGAAATGTTATATAAACCTTTAGAACAGGTATGAAAGTAATGATGAAATGTTATATAAACCTTTAGAACAGGTATGAAAGTAATGATGAAATGTTATATAAACCTTTAGAACAGGTATGAAAGTAATGATGAAATGTTATATAAACCTTTAGAACAGGTATGAAAGTAATGATGAAATGTTATATAAACCTTTAGAACAGGTATGAAAGTAATGATGAAATGTTATATAAACCTTTAGAACAGGCATGAAAGTAGTGATGAAATGTTATGTAAACCTTTAGAACAGGCATAGAAGTAGTGATGAAATGTTATGTAAACCTTTAGAACAGGCATGGAAGTAGTGATGAAATGTTATGTAAACCTCAAGCAGGAATGAAAGTAGTGATGAAATGTTATGTACACCTCAAGCAGGAATGAAAGTAGTGATGAAATGTTATGTAAACCTTTAGAACAGGTATGAAAGTAATGATGAAATGTTATATAAACCTTTAGAACAGGTATGAAAGTAATGATGAAATGTTATATAAACCTTTAAAACAGGTATAGAAGTAATGATGAAATTTTATATAAACCATTAGAACAGGCATAGAAGTAATGATGAAATGTTATATAAACCTTTAGAACAGGTATAGAAGTAATGATGAAATATTATATAAACCTTTAGAACAGGCATAGATGTAATGATGAAATGTTATATAAACCTTTAGAACAGGCATGAAAGTAATGATGAAATGTTATATAAACCTTTAGAACAGGTATAGAAGTAATGATGAAATGTTATATAAACCTTTAGAACAGGCATGAAAGTAATGATGAAATGTTATATAAACCTTTAGAACAGGCATGAAAGTAATGATGAAATGTTATGTAAACCTTTAGAACAGGCATAGAAGTAATGATGAAATGTTATATAAACCTTTAGAACAGGTATGAAAGTAATGATGAAATGTTATATAAACCTTTAGAACAGGTATGAAAGTAATGATGAAATGTTATATAAACCTTTAGAACAGGTATGAAAGTAATGATGAAATGTTATATAAACCTTTAGAACAGGTATGAAAGTAATGATGAAATGTTATATAAACCTTTAGAACAGGTATGAAAGTAATGATGAAATGTTATATAAACCTTTAGAACAGGTATGAAAGTAATGATGAAATGTTATATAAACCTTTAGAACAGGTATGAAAGTAATGATGAAATGTTATATAAACCTTTAGAACAGGTATGAAAGTAATGATGAAATGTTATATAAACCTTTAGAACAGGTATGAAAGTAATGATGAAATGTTATATAAACCTTTAGAACAGGTATGAAAGTAATGATGAAATGTTATATAAACCTTTAGAACAGGTATGAAAGTAATGATGAAATGTTATATAAACCTTTAGAACAGGTATGAAAGTAATGATGAAATGTTATATAAACCTTTAGAACAGGTATGAAAGTAATGATGAAATGTTATATAAACCTTTAGAACAGGTATGAAAGTAATGATGAAATGTTATATAAACCTTTAGAACAGGTATGAAAGTAATGATGAAATGTTATATAAACCTTTAGAACAGGTATGAAAGTAATGATGAAATGTTATATAAACCTTTAGAACAGGTATGAAAGTAATGATGAAATGTTATATAAACCTTTAGAACAGGTATGAAAGTAATGATGAAATGTTATATAAACCTTTAGAACAGGTATGAAAGTAATGATGAAATGTTATATAAACCTTTAGAACAGGTATGAAAGTAATGATGAAATGTTATATAAACCTTTAGAACAGGTATGAAAGTAATGATGAAATGTTATATAAACCTTTAGAACAGGTATGAAAGTAATGATGAAATGTTATATAAACCTTTAGAACAGGTATGAAAGTAATGATGAAATGTTATATAAACCTTTAGAACAGGTATGAAAGTAATGATGAAATGTTATATAAACCTTTAGAACAGGCATAGAAGTAATGATGAAATGTTATATAAACCTTTAGAACAGGTATGAAAGTAATGATGAAATGTTATATAAACCTTTAGAACAGGTATGAAAGTAATGATGAAATGTTATATAAACCTTTAAAACAGGTATAGAAGTAATGATGAAATTTTATATAAACCTTTAGAACAGGCATAGAAGTAATGATGAAATGTTATATAAACCTTTAGAACAGGTATGAAAGTAATGATGAAATGTTATATAAACCTTTAGAACAGGCATGAAAGTAATGATGAAATGTTATATAAACCTTTAGAACAGGTATGAAAGTAATGATGAAAAGTTATATAAACCTTTAGAAAAGGTATGAAAGTAATGATGAAATGTTATATAAACCTTTAGAACAGGTATGAAAGTAATGATGAAATGTTATGTAAACCTCTAGAACAGGTATGAAAGTAATGATGAAATGTTATATAAACCTCTAGAACAGGCATAGAAGTAATGATGAAATGTTATATAAACCTTTAGAACAGGTATGACAGTAATGATGAAATGTTATATAAACCTCTTAGAACAGGTATGAAAGTAATGATGAAATGTTATATAAACCTCTAGAACAGGTATGAAAGTGATGAAATGTTATGTAAACCTTTAGAACAGGTATGAAAGTAATGATGAAATGTTATATAAACCTTTAGAACAGGTATGAAAGTAATGATGAAATGTTATGTAAACCTCTAGAACAGGTATGAAAGTAATGATGAAATGTTATATAAACCTCTAGAACAGGCATAGAAGTAATGATGAAATGTTATATAAACCTTTAGAACAGGTATGAAAGTAATGATGAAATGTTATATAAACCTCTTAGAACAGGTATGAAAGTAATGATGAAATGTTATATAAACCTCTAGAACAGGTATGAACGTGATGAAATGTTATGTAAACCTTTAGAACAGGTATGAAAGTAATGATGAAATGTTATGTAAACCTCTAGAACAGGTATGAAATTAATGATGAAATGTTATGTAAACCTCTAGAACAGGCATGAAAGTAATGATGAAATGTTATGTAAACCTTTAGAACAGGTATGAAAGTAATGATGAAATGTTATGTAAACCTCTAGAACAGGTATGAAAGTAATGATGAAATGTTATGTAAACCTCTAGAACAGGTATGAAAGTAATGATGAAATGTTATGTAAACCTCTAGAACAGGCATGAAAGTAATGATGAAATGTTATGCAAACCTTTAGAACAGGCATGGAAGTAGTGATGAAATGTTATGCAAACCTTTACATCAACAAGGGATTGAAACTCAAGTCATCTAATCGAATCATTTTTTGGCCTACTTTTTGTTATAAGAGATGAAGTAAAAGTATCACTGTAATTGGTGTGTAAGATGGTGTAAGTAATATTCTCATTGATTCAATTATTTATTTATTTTGGGTGGGGGTGGGGGATTTACATTATTTGATTCTGATTCACACGTTGTTGTTGGTTACTGTCATTGTTGTTGGTTTACTGTCATTGTTGCTGGGTTACTGTCATTGTTGTTGGTTTACTGTAATTGTTGCTAAAATGTCTCCTCAGCTGTTTGGGGCAAGTTTTAAAAAGAAAAATATTATGTTTTAACTTGCTTACTCAACTCTTAATTTTGTACCAAATTATTTTCTCTGATAGTTGGCCGATCATTTCTTCAAGGACATTATCAACTACTTGAAAGAAACCCCATTGCGCTAAGCAGGTACAAAAAAATTATAGAGTAAAATAATACAATTATTAGAATAAATTAGTTTTGAAAGCGTGTACATAATGTTTTTCAACCAGGGGATGTATATGTGGCTTTCCTGGTATGTAGTGTGTGGCTTTCCTTGTATGTAGTGTGTGGCTTTCCTTGTATGTAGTGTGGCTTTCCTGGTGTGTAGTGTGAGGCTTTCCTGGTATGTAGTGGCTTGCATGTAGTATGTATTATTAAGATAGTAGAAATATTTTTTCATTAGAAAGAGGTCCATTATGTTACAAAATAGATCACTTTATGGTGTCAATGAGCATGATAGATCTTAGCTGTTGTCTTAAGACCGCTTGAAACGTTTTTCAGAGGCAAAAGTCCATTTTCTGTACCCGTTGAGGGGACGGCCGAGATGCTGAGAAATCTGTTGATTGTCTACCAGCGCTATTTTGACATGATTGGTCCATTGCGAATGATGTGGGACAGGGCCAGACATGAGCAAAGCTTAGAAATCCTTCAGGCTTTCCCAAAAGATGATAATCAGAATATTAACTGCATCTTGGATTCAAATGCCGGTTAGTATCAAATGCATTTTTCTCTGGCAATCTTTGACAGCCTTAACCATAGCAAACTGTAATCAGTGGGTCACATAGTGTTAGGGATGTTTGATGAAATCATGAAGAAGTCTATTGTTAGATACTCATGGAATAATTCTATTTGTTTTCTGTAACATAAAGTCTGGATACAAATTTACAGGGACTTTACTGTGTGGAGGTTTCATGATTAAGTCTCAGCTACCTAAAGCTAATCCAGATGTCCTCAAGCCTGTTGACCACCAACACATCCTGCAAGATTCCTGTGCCTATTGTGAATCTCTGCAGCTCATCCAAGGTTCATCCGTCTCTCACTTGTTACCTAGACCGCTAGAGTCAATGACTCCAGATGAGAAGAAAATGCCCAAACAAGTCAGATTTTCTATAGAAACCATTGATGTGATGGACATGAAGCAGAAATTACCTGCCACACCAGTATCAACAAAGAAAGTTGTTTTTCCATTCTCATTTGATGATTTTGGTGAAGAGAATGTTGAGAGCTTTGAAGGAGCTCAGCAGGAGATCATTTGTCCAGAACCTAGTGAAGATGTGCAAAGTGATTATTTGGAAGACTCCATAGTTCTCAATGCAGCCCTTAGCTTGACCGCCGGGGACAATTTTCATTTTGTAGAGAATCTTAACATTGACGATATGTTGTCTGAGAACTTGTGGAATCGACTCGGTCAGTTTGCTCTGGGTACCACACTGTATGTGTTCATCACACCAAGCACGTCGCCCAGCTCAGTTTCACAGTTTGTCCTGTACATGTTCAGGGATGACTCGGCCGTTGAAGAGAACACCAGGATCCTTGTGAGAGACAGAAACCTTGACCTCATGACAACTTACTCTTGTATATCCTTGGCCTTGTCTCATGTGTCAACATTTGTGGAGGATCTGAGCTTAACTCACGTGGCCCGAATTTATGCTGTGCTGGAAAGAGATTGGGAAGATGATTCTCAAATCAGCAGCTGGGAACCTATTCTACTAGGTACAGAGATGGAAATGCTGGCTCAGGTAAACAGCGATTTTGTTTCAGAGAATCAAGGGCAGTATCCATGTTTGCCTCCTGACTGTGATGTGGACCAGGCTGACCTACCACAGCTAGAAAGTCTCTGCTTGTTTGATGAGACGGGACCAACCAGCCCTGCAAAATTCAACACAAGCTTTTATCTTTGCATCGATGATAAGTTTGAAGAGACTCTGTCAAAGCTGGTGGGTATCAATGGCCACATCGTAGCTCTGGTCCAACATAATTCTGCACCACAGAAATCGAATGAAGACTGCTCATTGATTGTGGTGCAGAAAGACTATAGCTCTCTTTATATCTATGAAACCAGTAATGGGAAAGGAGTGAGACTGGTTTGTTCTGATAGTATGCCCCCATCTTGGATTTGTAGTACACTACATGATGACTTGAGTCAAAGATCCACAAGTATCCTTAAAGATGACAGAAAGAATGCCAATTATTTGATCTCCATTATTGGAAGCCATGTTCAGGAGGAGGAGGAGGGGAGTGAAGCCAGTGAAAAGTTGAAGATAACGGTTTACCTTTACTCCGAGCACAGAAGTGTGGTGAAACTGAACAGCATAGGGGAGCTGGTGGAACATCTTAAGGTACAACATCCTACCATAGATCAGAGCCATGAAGTCCTGGTGTCAACGTGTCATCAACGCACAAGCTTTGATGAGTTGCTTTATCACTTTTGGAATGGCTTGGGCCAGAATCAAGCGTCCACTGATTTCACATCCTGCAATGGAAATGCTGGCAACATGAAAACCAGTTTTCCTAATAAAAGCTTAGAACAACGTCTTCCGGTAACTCAAAATGGGAGACTGGTAGGTCCAGTTGACAAGCTAGAACAGTTTGGTTTTGATGAAGGCAACAAGCATTCAAGAACCACCAAGAAACTAGATCCTCTTTTAACCATACAAATTAATGAACACCTGCCTGTTCAAGAACAGCTGGCAAACTGCGGTGAAGATAACATAAAGACACCTGTGGATCGATGTCTACCAAAAGTTGTCATCACACCCTCTCCAGGTCAAAAACATGTTTTAGGAAACAAAGACTGTACCCTAGCAAAGAATGCCAGCCCAGCCACTGCTTGCATATCCAGCTGCCTACAGGTCCCTGAACCTGTTGATATTACTAAAGTGAAGGCCTCCGTCCCTGGTTATGAAAGTCCCAAAGCTGAGCAAATGGAGAATATTTGTGATGCGAAATCTCCTACACAGAGAACCCATACAAAGAGTGAAGAGTCTGGTGTGTACGAGTTGGATAGGTCTTTTTCTCCCCAAGAGCTCTTAGAGGATTCTGACGCAACAGGTGTCATAACAATACCTTTACAACAGGGGTCAGTAACGCCCTCATCAGTTGAGAATGTAGATGATCCTCCAGACACTGAGAATGACTCTGGTGACCATTCTGTAAGTCCATCATGTTGTCAAAAACATGTAATGGGTTGCACTAAAATAATCTCAGAGCAAGATTCATCATCATCAAAATATGACCCTGCTGATACAGAGGTGTTGGAGATTATGAGAAACCCTGTATTATATTCTGAAGAGAGCTCAAGTGGTACTTCCAGAGATTCTGGCCAAACCTCTAGTGAACAACATGGGGACAGCTTGAATTCATCTGAGCAAACATCTAGTGAACAGCATGTGGACAGCTTGAATTCATCTGAGCAAACATCTAGTGAACAGCATGTGGAAAGCTTGAATTCATCTGAGCAAACATCTAGGGAACAGCATGTGGACAGCTTGAATTCATCTAGCACATCTGTTGATCAGCGAAGAGAAATTTCAGATTGGTCTTCATGTTTTAAATCTGATGGTAGAGACCTTATGGGGGATGGATTGATGCAGTCCAAAGTAACAATGGCCATGGTGGTCCACATGAGTGACCATAAAAGACCAGATGAACATCAATATGGCAGAGCTGAAGGGAACCTTCTGATCTACCAAGCAACGAGGGGAGATAACCTGAACAATGTATTGGGATTCATTTTGTTTTCTGGTAAGCCCATTCAATAATTTATTTTATTATTAATTAACATTTCCGTTGGGTCAAAATACAGTGCATCCTCGCTAAGGGGTCGTTCGCACATTACGTCACGCTCGGAGGGGGGCTAGTGTCAAGAATTTGTGACATGTGACGGGGGAGGAGGGGGGGGGCGGGTCTCAAAAAATTTGTGACATCACGTTTTTAAAAATATTGTAAAATGTTTTTTTAAAATATAAAATTTTCTAATTTTGAAAATCTTTATTCAATTAATTTTAAAAACATTAATTTAAGGTCGCTATTGCCTCAGGTATTATAGGTACCATGAAACTCAGTCGTGCAGACCTTCTGCACACATCAAAAAATGATGCAACAAATTATGGCCATTTACATTTGGTTTGTGGATGACTTCTTTTTTTCACATCACAGTTTTTAATAATGCTACATCTTAATCCATTATGGGAAATTGTTAAAGAATAAAATAAAATCTTAGTTTGGTTATGAAAATTTTATGTATAATTTAATTCTTTTTTTAGGTGTGATGTGACCAGGGGGGGTGGGGGGCTAAAAAGGTGGGCGTTTTCGTGACGTAATTTGCGAACAACCGCTAACACAATAATTGAGGCTCTTAAAATCAGATTGCGTTAATAGCAGGTTCGCATTGATGATTTTTTCATAATAGCATTTTGATTTTTAATAATAGAAAAATAGTTGATTTTTTTTTTTGAAAACAAATCTTTCAATCTATTGGGGTTATGAGCTATGCTGTGTTAAACTTGGGACTAGTTTGGTAGATTTGTGATTTTTGTGGTCTGAGGAATTTTTTTTCTTTTTTTTTTTGTGTACTTAAAAAAAATATATGTGCGAATGAATATATGAAAATTTGGAAGCCATGCAACAACCAAGTTATATCTGAATGCATGTTCTAGTGGGATTCCACTTTGCTTGATATTTGTTTCCTTATGCATTGTATTATTTGCAGTGCTTATTTTTACATTCAATTTGAAAGAACTAAAGCAGTTTTATGCAACTTTTGAAAGAGAAATTATTTTTTTTTAAAGGGGTTTGAAAATTTGTTTGTGGTACCAACATGAAACAAAGCAGGTCTCTTTAAAGATGGCACAGATTTGATCAGAAATCAAAATATTATACAAGGAGATAAGGAAACCACACTGAATTCAGAATTATTTCTCTTAGCTGACAATAATTCACTGTCTGTACACTAATTAAATTTTTATTTTAATATATCTCTGACTTTTATTTTTAAATTTCAGATCTTGGTGTCCATCATGCTACATTTCGAGTTAGTAAGGCTTTAACTTTCAGCCACTTGGAAAATTGCCTCAGCATTTTAATGTCAATGTATATCATTGAGGAAGCTGGCCCAGCCCATCACAAGGATACCAAGAACAAGAGAATTTTGGTGGAGGCACCAGTCCGTAAGTTTTACTGGGGGGGGGGGAATTAAAATAAAATTTGTGAATTTCAAGTTTTGTGATTTTTAATTAGTAAGTCACAATGTTCAAGTTTAGAATAATGGTATAATGGGAATGTTGAGATTGCTATATTTTTACAACGATGTGGTGATAAATTTTATGTGCATTTGGTTTGTTATACAAAACGTAAAGTTTGTTTGAAAAAATCTCCTCTATTTAAAAAAAATGGTGATCTATTTGATGTTTATACATTTTCAGCTTTAATTGTGCCAGATATTTTCCAATTCATCTATTAGTGTGTTTTGTTGCACATAACTATTGCTGTCCTGCATGGCATTTTCTACGAATTACTAAATCTATCCACAAATAACGTACCTTTCATAATCATGCATACCTTTAATAATCACATACGGTTCATAAACATGCGTATTCTCAAATATTTCCAGCTGTCCTGATGGTCCTGGCCAACAGGCTGGGGTTTAAACAAGTCCTCACCTCATCCGGTGTCCCGTTCATCAGAGATCTCATCCACAACATAGTGCCCAATGCCGTTGTGCTTCCGGACCCCGCCTCTGTGCTAAATGTACTCACCCAGACTCAGGGAAACAAATGTGATGTTGTGGTCATGTTGCAACAAGAAGGTTAGAATTTAACAGTTTTTAAATGTTGATCTGCATTTCAAATCATCTTAGTTTAAATTTGGCCCTTAGAATCGTTTTGCCCTGATGAAATGTTAGTATATATGAGATTTATTTTTAACACAACATGGACATATTTATGTTAATAAAAGTATGTCTGGTATTGGTTTGTTTTCCAACAGTGTTTGAAGATATGTTGAACTTGGTGAGCTTTTCTGGAAACTTGGTTTTATGTGGCAAGATAAACCCACAGCAGGAAGTTGGAATGAACTGTTTCCTGCAGAATATCACTATCCATAGTTTCGATGCTTGCCATGCAGTACAGCACTACATGTTGCTTGAAGACACTAAAAAGGCAGAGTTTGAGAGAGATTTTTCAGGACACATCATGGCTGTTACAGATGCAGTGAGTGGATGTAGAGGCTTCGTACTCAATGTTACATAGAGATTTAAAGAGTGGATGTGAGGACTGAATGTGGTTGGTTGGTTGCTGTGAGTGGATGTGAGGACAGGATGTGGTGGGTTGATGTGAGTGGATGTGAGGACTGAATGTGGTGGGTTGATGTGAGGACTGGATGTGGTGGGTAGATGTCAGTGGATGTGAGGACTGGATGTGGTGGGTAGATGTCAGTGGATGTGAGGACTGGATGTGGTGGGTAGATGTGAGTGGATGTGAGGACTGAATGTGGTGGGTAGATGTGAGTGGATGTGGTGGGTTGATGTGAGTGGATGTGGTGGGTTGATGTCAGTGGATGTGAGTTTGATGTGGTTTGATGTGGGTGACTAGTTTTGATGAGAAGATGTGGTGGCTGACTGGTTAATAGATGTGGATAACTTGATGTAGATGTGGTGTCTGCAAGGTGACTAGATGAGTTGACTGGATGTCATAGATTGGACAAATTGTTAGGTTGTTGGTATGTTTTTGATGAATTAGAAAGCTGTGGTTCTAAACTTGTCTGTGTTTGAAACAAACTCTCTCCATTGCAGATCACTGTTGATTATCCTGCCAGATCAGAATCCATGTTCTACAATGTTTTGGGTAAATTAAAAAATATCACACCTGAATCATCTATCAGTGAGGATATCCTTGTCCAGATGTTCTTGTCCAACACGATGACCTCAGAACAGATCATCAGCACTTTACCTGAAAGACAGGCCAGCATTGCTTCATACCTATATGCCAGGATGGCCAGACCGTTTAATATAAATCATGTCATGCCAAATCTTGTATGTAGTATTTTTAATAAATGATCCCCTCTTTGTCTTAATGTCATCTAAAATAGTTTGAGAATGTCATGAAAATAAATCATTTGGAAAATATAGAAATTAATAACTTGAGGGTCTACCTCAGGGTTGCTAACCGTCTTCTGTCCTATCTCACTGTTGCTAACCCTCTGGTCTACCTCAAGGTTGATACCTTCTTCTGGTCTACCTCAGGGTTGCTAACATTCTGGTCTACCTCAGGGTTGCTAACATTCTGGTCTACCACAGGGTTGCTAACCCTCTGGCTACTTCAGGGTTGCTAACCCTCTGGCTACTTCAGGGATGCTAACCCTCTGGCTCCCTCAGGGATGCTGACCATATGGTCTAAATCAGGGCTGCTAACCATCTGGTCTATCTCAGGGCTGCTTACCATCTGGTCTACCTCAGGGTTGCTAACCATCTGGTCTACCTCAGGGTTGCTAACCATCAGGGTTGCTAACCATCTGGTCTACCTCAGAGCTGCTAACCATCAGGGTTGCTAACCATCAGGGTTGCTAACCATCAGGGTTGCTAACCATCAGGGTTGCTAACCATCTGGTCTACCTCAGAGCTGCTAACCATCAGGGTTGCTAACCATCAGGGTTGCTAACCATCAGGGTTGCTAACCATCTGGTCTACCTCAGAGTTGCTAACCATTTGGTCTACCTCAGAGTTGCTAACCACCTGGTCTACCATCAGGGTTGCTAACCATCTGGTCTACCATCAGGGTTGCTAACCATCAGGGTTGCTAACCATCAGGGTTGCTAACCATCTGGTCTACCTCAGAGTTGCTAACCATCTGGTCTACCTCAGAGTTGCTAACCATTTGGTCTACCTCAGAGTTGCTAACCATCTGGTCTACCATCAGGGTTGCTAACCATCTGGTCTACCACAGAGTTGCTAACCATCTGGTCTACCTCAGAGTTGCTAACCATCTGGTCTACCTCAGAGTTGCTAACCATTTGGTCTACCTCAGATTTGCTAACCATCTGGTCTACCTCAGAGTTGCTAACCATCTGGTCTACCTCAGAGTTGCTAACCATCTGGTCTACCTCAGAGTTGCTAACCATCTGGTCTACCTCAGAGTTGCTAACCATTTGGTCTACCATCAGGGTTGCTAACCATCGAGTCTACCATCAGGGTTGCTAACCATCTGGTCTACCTCAGAGTTGCTAACCATCTGGTCTACCTCAGAGTTGCTAACCATCTGGTCTACCTCAGAGTTGCTAACCATTTGGCTACCTCAGAGTTGCTAACCATCTGGTCTACCATCAGGGTTGCTAACCATCTGGTCTACCTCAGAGTTGCTAACCATCTGGTCTACCTCAGAGTTGCTAACCATCCGTGTTTGTGCAGTCTGTACAAATGTTGTTGTTTTCTGTTTTTTTGTCAGTAAAAGTCTGATAGAATTTTAGGATGTCCATAAACAAAAGTAAAATTCTCCTAAAGGCCTTTTATAGAAAGATATAAATTCTCAGAGTATTTTTTTTTTTTTAATTTTTTTTTTTACCCCTTGCTTTATTTTGACTTGTATGATCAAAGAGAAGTCATTTGCCAGGGATATCTTAATTGTTTGCAAATCAATATTTCAAATAAAGTTGTACTTAAAGATTCATGAGTCACAAAAAAATGTTTGTAAAATTTGTGAAAATTTAAAATCCGTCAGTAAATTTAATTTTCTTGAGCTGGCAACACTGCTGGGTCTATGTCAAAGACTGTTGCACCAATGTATTTATATAATAAAGTTATTCTGATGCAAAGTTTTTATTATATTCGCGCAAAAATCATGTAAATGAAATATGAAAATACTAATTGTTATATATTACTTCGTAATGAAACAAAACTGTGATGAAAATATGATGATCAGAATATTTTATTAAAACTAATTTTTGAATCTTTCAGGGCAATGGTGAAATCTTAGATCTTCCCTTGGATTCAACCCCTGCCACCAGCCAGAGACTCTGGCCTGACCAAAACATGCAAGAATCTAGCAGGCATTCTGGTCGTGACTTTTATGAAGAGTTGTTTCAGTTAGATAAGCCCAGTGAAACGGAGACCCCTGTGATCAAGTATATTCCATGTGACGTTGACATTGACCTTCTTGGCCTAGAAAGGGGGACAGACAAGTTGGCTGTGCACCCGAGGGAGGATGATAGTACTACCAGGTAAATGCATAGAAAATATCGCTCTCCTAATATCTATTTGTGTTAGTAGCTGTTGCAATTTCATAATTTTTTTTATGGAGAAGAGAAGTTAATATACACATGCAAAGTTTTTTTTTAGCATTTTTTAATAAAAATTCATCAGTTGCTTTAAGGGATAAGATTTGAATTTGATTTTAAAATGAACTTTTTAAAAAGAATGTAAATAACATTGATTATATTCAACTTAGGCTGACGGTAGAGATTGAGATTCCAGTGCTGTTGAACAGGGGCTTTCAAGTGCCAGGAAGCTTACAAGAAGTAACCAACACTTCTGTGGAACACACAGTGGTCAAACTCAATGACTGCACGTCTGGTGTACCTCTCTATATAGTACATGATGTAACAGGTACCTGTCTGTGTGCTGGTGACATCATAAGTGTGATGTCATTGTGGTCAAATCTTTTATCTCATGGCATTTTGTAGCTACACATTTTATGCCTTTAGTTATTTCACCACTTCTATTTAGATATTAACAAATTCAAATGTATTAAAAATTATTGTTTTCCATTTCATGACCTTTGATAGGAACTGTGGACTGTTTGAAGTGTCTAGCCCAAAGTCTTACAGTTCCAGTATTTGGGATACAGTGTAGCAGTCAGGCCCCAATTACAAGTGAAGAAGGAATCTCTGCCCTGGCAAGGTCTCGATAAACATTGTGTTCTTCAAATAATTATCTTATCTTTAATACTTAACATTTTAATGACACATATTTTGCTACCACTGGTACTGTGTTTGATCATTATTTTAACAGTTTCTATAAATTGACTTAATGAATATAAAAAAACATCTGTTTTTTCTTGCAGATTCTACTTGAAGGAGATCCGGGACAAATCTTCACCTGGGCCACTCAGTCTGGGAGGCTATTCCTTTGGGGCTGTTGTAGCCTATGAAATGGCTTCCATTCTTGAGCGTACTGACAAGGACCTGGTATGTTATCATTTCTGTGAACCCATTGCTTGCATCAAGCACATCACAAAAGTATCTTTAATCTATATTCTTGATACTTTGTAAACATGACATGATCATTACATTTTAATTGTTACATTCTTGATAGTAGTTGATTTCATCAAAGTAAACATGATAATGATATCATTACATTTAGGTGTTTCATTCTGCTTGCCAGTAAATAATGTTTAACTGGAAATGTAATGTTTGACCTTTGCCTCTTCTTATCCAGCTTCACCAGGTTGTGTTTTTGGATGGTTCACCTCACTATGTGATGTCATGGGTGCAGCATGAACTGATGTTTGTTCCTAGCAATAGAAGTCATTATGAGGTAAGACAAAAAGAACTTGACCATCTTGAGGGGGAGCCTTTTTTGGACGGACGGTGACCCCTTTTCACAAGCTTTGCTCTTAATTTGCAACTAAATTAATTTATAAACAAATTAATTTATTGCTTTGTAAATGTTTCAAGGTCACATATTTTGTAAGCATATATAGGGGTCACTAGGTTCCAAAAAATTGACATAAAATGACAGAAGCCGCCATGAAAATGACGAGATGAGCAAAAAATGCAAGAAGCAATCTGATTAGCTGGTACGAAGACCAGCCAGCCAGCCAATCTCTAGGCTTGCATTTCTGAGCTGATAGTTCGGCCTCTCGTCTTTTTGGCCATATCACTCTGGGCCAATAGATTGCCCCAGCCATCTTATTGGCCATAACACTTTGGGCCAATAGATCGGCCCGGCCGTCTTGTTAGCTATATTACTCTGCTCCAATAGATCGACGCGGCTAACTTATTGGCCATAACACTCTGGGCCAATAGATCGGCCTGGATGTCTTATTGGCCATAACACTGTGGGCCAATAGATCGGCCTGGATGTCTTATTGGCCATAACACTTTGGTCCAATAGATCGACCCGGCCGTCTTATTGGCCATAACACTCTGGGCCAATAGATCGGCCTGGATGTCTTATTAGCCATAACACTCTGGGCCAATATATCAGCCTGGCTGTATAGATCGGCCCAGCCGTCTTATTGGCCATAACACTCTGGGCCAATAGATCGGCCTGGATCTCTTTAATAGGGTTAACACTTTACCAGGTAGAGCAGCCAAAAACTACGTAAAGGGCAATAGCGTCCGTGACAGCTAAGAGTTTTAAACACGCGATCTGAGTCTTTGTGAGACTTTCGATTGTTAACATCCGGTTTTTCCGCTAGCTGTATAGAGTGGGCGCCAGTTACAAGTATTTCATCAAATTTTTTTGTAGTTTTCAGGATTTTAATGCTTTGTTTTTCAAAATGGATTTTGACGATTTTTCAAGGGATAGCGGAGATTTTGCTGGATTCAGTTTAAGTGACATTGAAGTGCACAAATTGACTATAAATTGGAACTAGAGATTAATATTATTAGCAATATTAGTCATAATTAGTGAAATCAGCGTAGTAGGCAGTGTTGAATTGTACACACTTCGATTTCGTGGCAGTGTTTGTAAATAGTAAATAGATGACTCACAAACAATATGTTGTTTTTTGCAAATATTTGTGTTCATATGAGGATTAATGGCAACATGTGAGTAAAATAATAAATCTGCATTCATTTTCCTTTATTTTGCTTTTTATTTCACACAAATTTGTGTACTAACACCTTTGCTTTGAAGTTTTTACTAACGTTACCCTAAATCTTACTAAAAACCGGAAAAATGTTGCCCGTTCAGAACTAGCAAGAGGAAGAACGTCTGCCCCGTAAAGGATTAAAGAAAACCTGAGAAAATAACTGAGCTACTCTTGGCTAAGATTTGGTTTCACTCAGTATTGCCTCCCTTGCAATCCTCAGAGATTCCTTGTTGCTGTGCTGCTGTCTTTCATCAGGCTCTATCTGCCAGATTTCTCCACATCACATGCTGCATCTCTCCTGGCCAGCCTGACCAGTTGTGAGCAACAAATCGTAATGGCTGTGGATATCTCTCTTGGATATGTCAAGTTGGAGTAAGTATTTGTTTGCGCCTTCATCTCTTGATTTTGCCAAATTAACTGAAGTACTTTGTTGAAATGTCTTCTGCACCTTACCTTAGCTGTGAAATAACACATTTTCGTTTTTAATACATTAAGATTAGTAAACTGTTTCAGAGAATAATTTGACATTTTTTTAATGACACAGGCTTATCCTGTTAGACAATATAATGGTTTTGATCTTCCCTGTGTCTTATGGTACCACAACAAATGTTTAGTGCATGAACTGAAAATAAATGTTTAACACTGTTTTAGGGTACCACAACAAATGTTTAGTGCATGAACTGAAAATGAATGTTTAGCACTAAAGTTTAAGTGATTGAAATGATCAGCCCTCAAATAGTGAACTTGAGACTTAAAAGTCAAAGCATTTGGTGATGTCGTTGTCTGTTTTTTTAACAGTGTTGCTTATGGAATCAAAGAAAAGTGGCGTCTGCTGTCAGACAGGATGAAGAAGAAGGAGCAGCTGCGTGTGTTCAGGAAATCCATCATTTCATCCAGGTCCAGCATTATTTCATGTAACAGCTGCGAAAGATCATTGTCTAACGGCAGCTACCTGCTGGAATTGGGCCTCTTTAGTGATCCAGATCTAAATCCAAGTGTCATGGAGGCCAGAGAGAGTTGTGATAATATGGAGGACGCTGTCTTTCTCAGTCCAACAGAAACAAGGGCGTTTACCCCCTATTTTGAAAGGGGCCATGGTATCAAGCACCACCAAGAGCTGAGGAAGACTGTGCCAGAGTTTTACTTGGTGCAGCCTGCGTGCTCACTTGGTGACGTGTCGGATAGAATGCTGCTGTTGCTGCGCAGGCAGAAAGCTGAGATGTTCCTGCGCCTGGGTCTCATGATGAGGAAGTACAAAGCCAAGCCTCTGAGAAAAAGTAAGATCATAGTTAAGATGCTTTTGTCCAAGGCATTTACCTGGTATCTGCATGCATGAGTAGTCACAGTCACTGCCAAATTATTTCGTTGTCTAAAGTCTTATGATGCTGGCCAGTATTTCAATGGAAAATATTCCATGTCTAATCTTTCGATGCCATGTGTTCCTTGGTATATCTCGGAGGAGTTTGATTCAAACAACACTAAAGGTCCATGGTACATAATGCGTTTATTTTGACATAAGTAAAACATCAACTTGGTTCACATTGAGGTTGAGACATGGATAAATATGCAAAAAATATTCTCCTCAGGAAAAAAGCCCCACAGCCAATCTATCTAAAACAACCTACCTCTCTGTCGCTCGCTCTATCTCAGACTGACTATCCAGATCCCTAGTTCACTCTCTTTCGCTCAAATCATTGTCTCCCCTTTCATCATCCACATTTCACGCACCCGTCCATGACTTGAAAATAGTTCACATTCGCTCACATAACCCATTGGTCACAACACACACTCTACCTCTGATTTCTTGACCTTGACAGTGATGTCATTGTGTTAAAATTATGGAGCGTCTATTTATAGTTGTGACCATTGATTGAAGTAGAAAAGTCAATTATTTTTTTTATGGAAGTTATTTTTATTGTAGATGATGTCCACTATTTAAAATGATTAATGTTGTCTTATCTGCTTCTCCTAATGTCAAGCTCCAACAATCCTTGTGCGTGTCAAAAACACTCCCAAACACATAGAAGACCTTGACCTTGAGTATGGACTTCGTGATCTGGTGAGACCCAAGAAGTTTCACATCCTGTTTGCCGATGGGGATCATCGCAGCTTTATTCAGCCGCCACAGGTGGAGCCGCTGGGCCAACTTCTCATGAAATATTTATGAGAGCCAAATCCATGACAACGGACTGTTGTACCAATGTCTCAGTCTCCATGACAACGGACTGTTGTAACAATGTTTTGTCCTTTGCAGGGAGGTTTCATTTTTTTTTTTATATCATTTCTTGAATTATTTTATGTATCACCGTTACATTCATTTCTTGCATTATTATTTCTTATTTTATTTCTTGAGTTTATTGTATTATTTCTTCAAATTTCTTGCATTATTATTTCTTATTTTATTTCTTGTATTATTTCTTGCATTATTTCTTGCTTTATTATTTCTTCTTTTATTATTTGAATTATTTCTTGTATTATTTCATGCGTTTTTTCTTGCTTTATTATTTCTTATTTTATTTCTTGAATCATTCTTGTATTATTTCTTGCATTGTTTTGCGCATTATTTCTTTGTGCATTATTTCCTGCATTATTTCTTGCGTTATTTCCTGCATTATTTCTTGTATTTTTTTCGTGCATAATTTCCTGCATTATTTCTTGCATAATTTCCTGCATTATTTCTTGTATAATTTCCTGCATTATTTCTTGTATAATTTCCTGCATTATTTCTTGTATAGTTTCCTGCATTACTTCCTGTATTATTTCTTTCACCTTATTTTCGGCATTATTTCTCATGTGAAGAAACACAGTCAGCGCCCAATCATCTTTGTCTTTTGAAGTTTGATTTTTACCTGATATGTTTTTTTTTCAGCCCTACTTACATCTTTCACTCCTTCTTTTATTTTTTAAAATTGTTTGTTGTAAAAATTATAATCAATCTCTTCTGGTATCTTTGGATTCACACCCATTTTAACAACAGAAATTAAATTGTTAAAAAAAATTTTTTTTTTTAAATAACATACTGGTTATCACTAATTTATATTAGTGTTTGCTTGTTGGTGTTAGTACATGTGTACTAAGCATTTAATTTTCCCATAAGCAAATTAAAATTATATATTTTATGCCATTTTTTAAAAAAAGGCTCTTGATGTGCCAACAAAGCCCATGCTTGCTGTAAACACATGGTCTCAATGTCTCACACATACCACTGGTCTCATTGTCTTTCATATACCCCTGGTCTCATTGTCTTTCACCATATTCTTTGGGTCTCATTGTTCATATATCTATGGTCTCTTGTCTTTCATAGATGTGGTTGAACTGGCAGACAAGGAATATCTGTATTGCATAGGAGTATTGTGAGAACTCTGTGCTGATCTTTCTATAACCAAGAATAACTTTTGTTTCCCTGTTAAATTTTAAATGATTCAGAGAATTCTCGGCTGTCCTTTAGCGGCCATGGATAGCATTGTGTGTGTAGAGTTCAAGAAATATCATTATTTTCATACCATCATTGTTAAAACCCTTAAATTAAAAAAAACAAACAACTACATAGTTTCTCCTTTTCTGAAATGCCGCCAGTGTAAGTGAGAGGGTAAGTAGAAGTGAAAGTGTAAGTGAAAGGGTAAGTAGAAGTGAAAGTGTAAGTTAAAGTGTACGAAGTCCTGAAGATGGGAAATGTAAATGTTTATAAGACTTGAGCAGCAACCAGATTAAGAAATGCTATTTTACGTCACCAACTTGAGCTACAAATATGTTTTATTTTCTGTGGTTAGTTTGGAGTTTGTGCCAACATTGGACTTTATTATACACAGCAGATTTAAACATTGCTTTTCTGCAAACAGGACCAACTTAGCAGTATTGTAAGGGATAAGCCATTCCCTGGGGCCCCTCTTGGCCCTAAACATTTCCATTCAAGATGGCTCTCATTGATGTCCTTAGATATCCCTGATGTCCTTAGATTTTCCTCATGTCCTTTATGTCCCTCATGTCCTTAAATGCCCCACATGTCCTTTGATGTCTCTCATATCCTTAGATGTCCCTCATATCCTTAGATATCCCTCATATCCTTAGATATCCCACATATCCTTAGATATCCCACATGTCCTTAGATGTCCCACATGTCCTTAGATGCCTCATATCCTTAGATATCCCACATGTCCTTAGATGTCCCACATGTCCTTAGATGCCTCATGTCCTTTAGATGTCCCAGATGTCCTTAGATGTCCAAGCACGATTTGATTCATAAGATAATCGACTGTTCTTATACTTACATATTTAAAAGCATACAATAACTTGTTTCAATATGAGAGCTCACAGAATTAATCTTTTCCAATATTTTGTGTTGTTATTCAATACTTTGTATATATTTTACTTATTGATTTCTACGGGTAATTACAAAATGTATCACAGTTTTATGAATTAGTAATTTCAGTTCTATTTCATCAACATTTAATACGGTTATCTACAATTTCTGTTTCTTCAATCCAAACATATCCTCCACCATGTTTCTTCCATGAAGCAAGTCAAAGTAATTAAATCATCACCTTGATTTCTTGTATTGAAAACTTGCTTGTTAAATGAATGTAAGAAATGATTCCCCACCTGTGCATTTGCTTACCTAAATTTCAAGTTCAAGTCTTCTTGGGGTTTCATCACATGCAAATGTCATATTGTATTGGTACTCACCATCAAAATCTTCCTATGTCATATTTTATTCACCATCAAAATCTTCCTATATGAAATATAATATTGGTATTCACCATCAAAATCTTCCTATATGTCCTATTGTATTGATATTTACCATCAAAATCTTCCTATATGTCCTATTGCATTGATATTTACCACCAAAATCTTCCTATATGTCCTATTGCATTGATATTTACCATCAAAATCTTCTTAACTGAAATGAAATATTGTATCTGAAATATTGTATGCATATTCACCATCAAAATCTTCCTATAATGAAATCATTAGAGAAATGATTAACACATGTTCATGTCTTTTTTGATAAATATGCAAATTTCTTTTGAATACAAGTATAGCACCAGTATAGCAACTTCTAATTAGTTAACTTTTGATCATTATTGACATGTACACCTTTTCTAGTAAAGTATTCTTCAAACAAATATTTGATTTTTTAATGGTACACACCATTGTGATTTTTAAAATTTACACCTGAAGTCTGGTATGTGTACTGTGAAGTGAGGTATGTATACTGTGAAGTCTGGTATGTATACTATATTGTTTACACAAAATAATCCACCAATATGAAGTGCCCAGTGTTTGCAGCTATGCACATAACTATGAAATGTTTCGTAGGTATTTCACCTTCAGTCATGATTCATG